CTAATTAACAAATATTCGCATAAAAAAAAAGAAAAAGAAAAAAAAAAAAAAAAAGAATAAATAAAAAAGAAAAAAAAAGAAAAAGATAAAATAAAAAATAAAAAAAGCCAAGAGAAAATAATCTATAATTGGTATTTTGTGTGGGTTTTACTTCGTATATTACTATGGATGATGGTAGGTAGAGCCTGATTAATAAAAAATCCCCAAAAAAAATTTTTTAATTTTTTTTAAGCTTTCGTAAGGTCGATCTCTCCTATACTATCAATTGAAAATAATGAAACAACTTGCTCAAATAAACTCAGAACCAGCGATTTTTTAATTTGTAAAAGTAATTTATACTGTGTTGTGATTGACTTGTTCAATTTCTGGATATAATTATAATATTATTTAAATAAATTAATTATATAATAACAATATTAAAATTTTTATTAAATAAATATAAATTTTAAATATACTGTATTATATAAGCATTGTATAAGTACAATTCCAAAAATCTGTGGATATGTCTTTAAATAAACATTGTTTTATACGTATAAAAAGAAAAAAATTTTTAGCATAAAAATTAAAGTGTTTCTTATTCTAATATCACAATTATGAGAAATATTTAATTGAATCTTAAAAAAATTCAAGTATTAACTCATTGTAAAACTGTAGTTAACTGTAGTTTTAAAATAAACTATAGTTTATTTAATTGTATTTTCTTGATCAATATTTATATAAAAATTATTCATAAAATTCTCATTTTATAAGAACTCAATGTTCTATTTACATTAATAAAAAACTATGTCTTCATTTAAGAGTCAAAGATAACAAATAGAACTATGTATTTTAGAAACATATAATTGAACTTCAATTAAAATAAAAAATTTTAATTATATTAAAATTATATTAATTCAAACAAAATAAATATTAAACTATTGAAATATTTGGGTAGATGTATACAAAATGCTTATTGAGAAAATTTTTTGTTTTCAGTAGTGAATTATTTCAAATAAAACACAATACATCTTATTTACAATTTCTAATTATTTTGTTAATATAAGTTGCACTTCAATAATAGTGATGTGACCCGGAATCACATCAATACGCAATAATAGCACACCATCTAAAATGATTTAAGAAAATAAAATTTAATTAAAAAATATAGTTTTCTTTATTCAATTAATGTGCTATCCAATAAAGTATTGATCCCAATTCTGCCCACTGTAGTTTTTAATGGTTCATGTGATCTTGAAGTATTCTATAAATATGTGTCTGAACCTTACAATTTCATATAGTGCCGCATGCAGCATGAAGGTTATGATAATAATAAAACTTCAACTAATAATAAATTGAAATAATTTCAATTCAAGGACTAATCATACCAGGTTATATTCAAGCCAAGATATATAATATTATAGCAGTAGGAATTTTGCAACAAAATTGCAATTATTTAAAAGAGGTTAGACAAAAACAGAAGCATGGAGGAACTTTTGATTAAAGCCAAGCTTTTAGCAGCACTTACAGATTATAATCATGGAAAGTACAAAACTTCTTTTGAAAATTTTGAAAAGGTATCTAAAAATACAATAAATACACAATATAAAAATAGTGCAAAATATTATTTGGCATTGCAGTATAAAAATGGGAAATACATTTTAAATGATAATAAAGCCCATGATCTCTTTAATCAAGTTGCACAAAGTGATTCAACATATAAAGATGATGCAAAATATATATTGGCACTGCTTTATAAAAAGGCTAAAAGTGATGATCGTAAAGCCTTTGATCTCTTCAAACAAGTTGCAGAAAGTGATTCAACATATGAAGATAATGCAAAATATATGTTAGCAAAATGCTATGAATCAGGGCTAGGTGTTGGAAAAGACTATGAAATGGCTTATAAAAAATATTTAAATCTTTTAAAAAGTAATGATTTTGAAAAAGGTTACAAAAAGAACTTAAAGTTAAATAATATTAAATTTGAGTTGGCAAAGTGCTACACAAACAATGAAGTGACTAAAGATGTCACCTTTTAACTATATTTAGATCTCTCAAAATGTGAAAATCAAAAGTATCAAATTGATGCTTTGAAGTGGCTGACAAATCATAAACCATTATAAACTACAATAAACTCTGTTTATATTACCTGTTAACATCGAAATCAAAGTTCTTTTCCCAACTTGTTCCACATGAAGCACGTAGGGCCGTTATAAATATTTCTCTCTGTTTTCTCTAACATCTTAAAGTATTTTTTATTGTTTATGAGCAGATAAAT